AGCCATCTCTCCATGTCAATGTCAACATGATTTTTTTTCTACCTTTCTTTCATCTAGCAGTTAATTATTTCAATGTGGTTGGTTGCCTAACCATTTCTTTGGTAGGCTGACTCTCTTGACTCTTCTCTTTATATCCTAAATGAGAAGGAGGAAGAGGAGGAGTATCGTCTATGCTAGCCATGAGTCTGTATGGAGAAAAGTCACTCATGTTAATAATTATAATTAAAATAGATATTATGCACATAGAAAGTAATAATATAATACATATAAACATTATTTATTAAACACATAACTAGTTTTAAGTTCGAATATTCTACCATAATCTTTCATCGTGGTCATCATGTGTAACATGTACATCATTACTATTGTTTTCCATATTCAACCTAGGCATGTGTGTGGAGAAGGAAAGAGTCTCACAAATATCAAGTGTTGAATCTTTATGGTAGTAAGTACCATGCATGCTTTTTCCTTAAAGAACAATTGACTAATATTGTAAACATGATTAGTAATATAAAACACTTGTTTTTCTTGGTCTTCCATGATGAATGACTCATATTTAGAACCTTTACTCTTTAGATTAACCAAAGTAAAATCTAGATCATCAGTCTTGACTCCAAATTTAATGTCAACCTACTTACACTTAAAAATCGACACTCTAAAATTTGTGTAATCAACCAACCATATGTCTTCAATGACTATAAAGTAACATAAATATGCCATAATTGGGTTCGAGTACTTTGGAGATCTTCCTTTTTGGTAAACAATATGTAATTATTGATATCGTACTCATGATAGATTAACTTTTGTATATCTTTCTATGCATTGTTTTTGGCTTATATGACTTTTATTAGTATCATATTTGGGATATATTAGCTTTGATTTGTTCTAATGAATTATTTTGGTCTTTGTTGTAAATTCTAATTAATTTTCATAATTTATTTATTTTGACATTATTTCTTATGCAGGTCATATCTAGAGCTCCCAATATCTAATTTATGAGTTCTTTGTGTCCCTAGAAAGATAAGAGAGAGTTCAACAACTTCTTTGTTGGGAGCAAAGGTCAATTCAGATATTAATTAACCCAAAATTGTATTGCAAAGTTGCAACCCTACATAATATTTTCTTTACCATGCTCATACTTATCTCATATGAGAGATAAGAAGATTTCCTAAAACTCTCATGAAGACACCAAGTCTTAATTACTTCATCTACCTTGTTAAAAATGATAAACACCGCAACAGCTATAAGCAATGTTGGCAGCTTGACCCCTCTTCACTAAAACCGCTATATCCTGAGTTCTAGAACTCCTTTTTGGGTGATTCCAGCGCCATTGGAAAGCTAACATCCAAGGCTACAACTTTCATGAAGACTATAAAGTCAAATTCTGAAAGAAAAATTCACGCCCGGCTCAAATCTCAACCAGAGACCTATAGAGGTCTTTTGCGCCCGGCGCAATATCAGTAACAAAAACATAAGATTCACGTCTGATAGTGCGCCCGACATGATTCTCCCCAAGCCTGGCGTGATTCACCCAGGGATTTCCCATTTCAAATCACGCCCGATGCGAAAAACTGTGCCCGGCGCAATTTCAAACAGTAACCCTCACCACTTCGAAAATTTCACCCAAAACCTGCAAAAATCAACATCCCAAACACATGCAAACCAACCAAAGTGTCACATTTTCAACCAACAACTCAAAAATCATGCCTTTTTACACACGCAACATCAAACAAGGAAAATCCCCGAATTTTCATCAAAACCCCGAAAACCCGTTTTCATCAAAACAGCTCATCATTCATCAAAAAATCAGCCACTCAATGAGTTTATAAACTCATTTCCAACAAAATCAGCCAAAGAACTAGCTTCCCTTACCTCGGTGCGAAAAATCCGAGCTTCGGTAAGAAGACAAAGGAAGAAGAAGCTTGAACGAATGGAGAAGAACAAGCTTGAACAACTAAGGAGGAGAAGATGAACTCCGAACACTCAGCTTAGCAACCCAAACTCCTACTCAGCACCACCACCTAAAGAGAGTGAACGGGGAAGAAGAGAGTGAGTGAGAAGAGTGAAAGTGAGGGGAGAAGAGAGAAAGAGATAAGGGGTCTCACAAATTCAATTTTTTCTCAATATGAAAATTAGAAAATTGGTCCTCTATAGTAGTAAAGGACTCGTATGATTTTTTTGCTGTAAATGTTGTCTATCATCATGAACAATCATTTTATCATGAATCATCTCTAATCACGAACTTCAATAATCATAATAATAAATGGTCTAAGATGTGTAATAGTGTTATCTTTAAGAACTTATTTATGTGATGTACAAATTCTTTAGGATATAGAAGAGCCTTCTCAATACTAATTGCGTTGGAATATAAACAAAGTTCTATATCATTGAATTATGAGGAGAAATAAAAGTTTATAAAACATGCATAGTCTCCATTGATATGAGACTTTTTGAGAGATGACAAAAAATAAAATCACGAGACTTTAAGTCTAAAGTGGATAGTGAACTAACCCAATACTCAATGATAATGGGGTGCGGCTAAAACTTTAAGGACCACTCATACATAAAATAAATAAATAAAAAATCATAGTCCTTTGTGTTGAGGGTTTAGGATTTGTGATGAGGAGAAAGAAAATATTAAAAGAACACATACCTTCTGAGATAAAATAACAATCTTAAAAAATCAAGTCAAAGGAATAAGATAAAACTTGTGTATCAAGTCAACAAGAGTGAATTAATTAAAATATTTGTTTAATAAAATAAAATCAACTTAAAATAAATTTTCTAAACCATAATTAAATAAACTTATTAATCTTTTTGAAATAACACTCAAAATATACTAACACTATCAAAGGTTGATAATCTTTACATTGAATAAGCACCTCTTGTTTGACTTCATATCATGTTCTCACCATTAGAACTTCAGCTGGTCGTACCCTTATCTCCGTTTGGAACAAAGAAAATGAATGTGGAAGAAAAGACCAAATCGAGCAGTAGAACTTTTGAGATGGATCGTTGTTCATAACTTCATATATATCCTAAAGAAACGTCTCATCATTTGGCAAGTTAAACCATCCTTCTAGTCCTCAACTCTGTCCCGGCTTTCATATTAATGTTCCTCAATTTGTTGCAAAATTTCTGATGTCTACCGGTTAAAGTGTTTAAGTAAATTAAAAATAGCATAAAGCCATAAACACTACTAATGTCATTTTCCTGCCAATTTTTCTATAAAAAAATTTTTGCAGAAATTTTTTTAGAATTTTCTTACGATAATAATTTCACAAAAAAATTTATGAATTTATTTTTGAAAAATAATTTACAGATATTTTTTACAAATTTTTTTATGAAAAATAATTTACAAGAAATTTTTGCAAATTTTGCTACAATTTTAATGATCATAGAAATTTTTTTTCATGGTAAAAATTTGTAGAAAATATTGTAAGAATTTTATTTTGTTTCTTGTAAATTTTCTTGCAAATATAAATTTGTAAGTAATGTTTATTAAATGGTATAAAAATTTCGCAGGTAACTTTTCCTCGAATTTTCTTGCCAATTTTAATCCGCAAGAAAAAAAAATTTAACTTTATAAGTTTAATATTTTAAAAAACCTAAGTCCCAAGATTAAAAATGAAACAATTAAAGAGTATATAAGTTGGGGCAACACTTACCATACAAGTTAATTTGTATGGTTGAGTGTTAGGCTTATAATTTACAATCTTAGAGTTTAAAAGATTATGTATCACATGGTTGAGTGATAGAATTTGTAGTAATTTTTTTGATTTTTTTTTCGTAAAACATATTCCTGCAGAATTTCTTGCGAAAAAATTCGCAGGAAACTTTCTTGTGAATTTTTTTTTGCAAGAAACTTTCCTTCAAATTCTTTTTGCAAGAAATTTCGCAGGAAAATTTCTTGCGAAATTTAAAATTCCTAAAAAGATATTATCCTCGAAGGTATTACCTGCAAATAAAATTTCATAGAAAAATTTATAGGAATAATATTTGCTGCGAATTTTAATATAACATTCGCATGAAAAGTTGCATGTAATAAAAGAAACTCTAGTAGTGAAACTTTTATCTTCAGTATCAAGTCTGATACAATTTATTGTTATATAATAAATTTGAGTCCCTTATTTTTTATAAGGAGATGATTTTTTTAATTGAACACAAGACTTCACATCGACAACTTAACTGTCTTTTTCCTATTTTAATTTGGGTTTGTTTGAATATGTTTTTTGATAAACACTTTTATAAGAGAAAAATAAGAAAATAATAATAATATTTTTTTTATAAGTTGAAACTAATTTGTACATTAGTTTAAAATATAATTTTAAAAAAATTAATGAGGGATAGTTTCTATAAATCTGCAAAAACTTATTTTCTTTTTTCATTTTATTTTTCTCCTTTAGAAATGTTATTCTAAAAATTTGTTCAAATAAGTTCTTTATCTTTTACATTATCTAGTAATAAAGGATTTTGAGTAACATCCATAAAATCTTATATTCAAACTTTTATATCATCGATATAAATAGGGCATCTCCAATGGAAGCAACTCATTTGAGTTGCTTCATACATTGAAAAATGAAAAAAGTGGTCTTTAGTGTACCATGTCAGCATTAAGCAACTCAAACACAAATTTACTCTTATGATAAAAAACTTTAAGAACTTTTAAATTTTTTTTCTAATCATTTATGAACCAAATTTAAATTTTTATCAAAAAGAATATGTACACTAAAATGAAAGAAAATAAATTACGAGAAAAAATACACAATAAGTAGATATTAAAAATAAAATAAAATAATAATAAATACATAAATATTATACAAAATTAATTTTCATCATTATTATTTTTGAAACGTTCTCAAATATATTCAATAAGATCAGCTTGAAATCGGGTAAGGAACGATTGCTTGAAGAAACAACTCTCTCTCTTCTCCAAGAGACTCATGTTACCACGTCAGAATCCTCCGATAACAAGAAACCGGAAGTTGAGTTGTTTCGTAGTACAAACAACTTATATCGGAGTTCCTCTAGTAACTACTCGGGGTCAGATTCACCGCGCATCTTATTCCAATCACTGCCTCCTTCTCTAAAGTCCGAACCAACCAACCAGCCCACTCCACTGCCAGTGCGGTTCCCCAAAAGAAGTAGAGCGAAAGAGAGAGAGGGAGAATATGAATGGGGGATTTCATTTAACCAATAAAACTGGTCATAATCGTGACTCGTGAGCTAACTACCCTCTGCCACGTGACCACTCTCATTTTCTTTCTCATTCCTTCGGTGTATAAAAAAACTTGCGCAACTCCACTCTAGCATAGCACATTAGCACCCATCCGAAATTCCAGTATTCTCACTCCATTCCACTCAATCTCAGATCTCCGCTGCGGGTTCCAATCCTCTCTCCTCTGTGAGTTCACGTTTTACTCGCTGCTCTCTATTGCGCCTCAATCTCATTTATCTCTTCGTTTTTGCTTTGCCGAATTTGAAAACTGAGAACCTGCACATTCACCAATCAGCATATCATCTCTATTAATGTTTAATTGGCATTGGAATTTCGTTCGATAGATCTATCTTGCGAGTTACGATAATCTCGTTCGATGAGCGTTAGCTTTTAGTTCTCTGAACTTAATGCGTAACGTCACGTCTGTCTTGTTGTGGTAGCTGTTAGGTTTGGTTTGGTTTTCAATCTCATTTACTCACTCCATTGACAAATTTGCTTACCGTGTTTCCTTTGTCCATAGTGCGGAATTTATTGATGTACTGTATTTGCATTTCGTTTTCCGTGGTTATTAGAGTGAGGGACGTGTGATGTCCTTTTTCGCTGAATGATTCGCTTAATTGCTTTTCTTGCTTTTCAAGTTTCAGAGGTTTCGCATTGTGGTTTGTTCTTTTCCTTTTTCGTGCGTGTGATGACTTCGTGATATGACACGTGGGTTTTTGCCATTCCTCTCGATGTGAATATGGTTGATCTGCTTATGTTTTTTCTTCACCGATTCATGTATATCTATGATTGTTTCTTAGCCTTAAGAGGCTTGTGGTTATTTATAATTTAAGTATCTTAAAGAATTTATCTTCCTCTTGCTGCCTAAAAATTAAAATTGTTGATTAATGTTGAATCCGGGGGACAGATTTCGATTTCTATAGGTGATTTTAGCTGATTAAGAGATATTTATTTATTTTATATGTGACTTTTGGTATGGTACAAAATATTCCTTTATGCTGTATCTCACTGCAATAAGAAAATGATGCACTAGCATGTTATCAGATCTATCAGTTTCTTGGCCATGGCCGCCGGACAACTCTTCTCCCGTACTACACAAGCTTTGTTTTACAACTACAAGCAACTTCCCATCCAGCGGATGCTTGACTTTGACTTTCTTTGTGGTATGTATCATCAACTTTATCATCTTAAATTCTCATTATTCTTCCATACAGACAGTAGCAAATTATAGATTTACATTAATGTGGAGTTAATATTATTAATGGAAGAGCCATTTTTTATTTGCAGGTAGAGAAACACCATCAGTAGCTGGAATAATTAATCCTGGTTCCGAGGGATTTCAAAAGCTCTTTTTTGGTCAGGAGGAAATTGCCATCCCGGTTCATGCTGAGTATGTGTGGTTGATTCATGGTTCACAAATTGTCCTTTCTCTGCTTTAAATTTGGACTTGGTGACCGAAACATAGTCAAGAGTTTTTTTTCCTTTCTTCCTTTGTTTTTGTGGTCTCCTTATTGTTTGCGCATGCTGCTGAAATATAAAGTAACCTGTAATGAAAGAAAATTATTTTGTCTAAGTTTAATGTGTTCTTACTTCTTTGCTATATGTTCACTTCTTTTTCAGTATTGAAGCAGCTTGTGCGGCACACCCCACTGCTGATGTGTTCATCAATTTTGCATCATTTAGAAGGTTGGTGATGTTATAATTATTATTGTTCTTTTTGAGTCGAGGCCTTCAGTGGTTTCTTATTGCATGGTATAATAAGGATAGTTTGGTATACTTACAGTGCAGCTGCATCATCCATGGCTGCTTTGAAGCAGCCAACAATTAGAGTTGTTGCAATTATTGCTGAAGGTGTACCTGAGTCAGACACCAAGCAACTGATTGCGTATGCTCGGGCAAACAATAAGGTGAGAGAAGAAATGGAAATTCAAATTAAATAAATCAACTTCAAAGCGAAAGATAATAGGACGGAAAATGGAAATACTTATTATAGTGCTGATGATGTGCTAGGTTGTTATTGGCCCAGCCACTGTTGGAGGAATTCAAGCTGGTGCTTTTAAGATAGGTGATACAGCTGGAACAATTGACAACATAATTCATTGCAAACTCTACAGGCCTGGATCTGTTGGATTTGTTTCTAAATCTGTATGTAGTTATTCATATTCCTGTTTATGTCAATTTCACCTTTCTCATATTAAGGATAGATTTTGGGTGAATTCTCTGAAAGACCACTTTCACAAGTGGTCCATGGGTGCATCATCAATTTTTATCCTTAGATGCATCTAAACTAGTAGACCATAATACACCTTACCACACTGGATCTAAATTTTCGATTTTTTTACTGATATTTTTTTTTTAAATTACCCAAAAAAAAAAAAACACGTGGCAACAGACGCAGCTGTTACTGACA